CAGGATAGATGGTAAAATGATGGCTTTGTCCAGGATTTCGTCTTGTGCGGACCACTATGTACTTGGAAGCCGCAGTGAAAATTAAACAGAGTAGTGCATAAGGCCAATCTACTATGCAAGACTCCTTTGAAGTGATATTGAGCCAGGACGTCACTTTGAGGCATCAGGTACACCTCATCCAAGTCATGGCACTTTCACGTACCCCATATGCATGTGCAAGTTGGCCAATGAAGAAAGAAGAGCATAGAGGAATTGGTGCATCTGAATTATGGTGTTGTTGAAGCATATTTAAAATACCAAAACTACCAAAAGATCAAACACATCAATCATGTAAGAAGTACTGCCAGAGTACCCCTTAGGAAAAAAGATGGCAAGTCTTTGCACGTGTTATCAGGAGAGCCTAGCTCCATGCTTGGTAAAGGAGGACCGAGAAACAGAGGGAGAACGTCAAGGAGATGGATGGACACAGTGGCTCCCCCAGCGGGCTCCAAGGAAACATTTGATTGGCTGGTGCTGACTGGCGCCGCCCAGTTTCATTTGGGTGCACACAGGAGCAAGATGAATTCCAACCAACAGGATGAAGTCTAACAGCAACAACAACCTGAATTGGATCCAACCTGAGGACACTTAACACACACAAGGTCTGCCAAAAGCAAAATAACACACCTCCGTCAGAACCAGGTTTATGCTCTCCCCTTGTAGAATGGCCATGTGCAGAAACCAGGGTGGTCGATTTTTCCCTTTCAGGCCTTTCTTTCTTTTGCTCTGGACTCCACGTTTTGTTGTCCTCACCTCTAGTTCTTGTGACATAAGGAGTGACCTATCCCCTGACTGGAATCCATTTCCAAAGCTTTATGGATGAGGTAGCTCTTCCAGGTGGACATCTAAACTATGGATTTTGGACTTAAATGCACCACAACCATGGAAGTCATTTCCTCTAAGGTGCGTGAGTTCTGTGAAGCATTGCAGCAAATTGCAAGTCCCCGAGACTGGGGAAATAAAGTAAGAGAAGGAGTGGGGTGAGTAAAAGGGCTAATGAAGCCCTGGTGCGTAGTGGGCTACTCACTGAGCTGTTTACCACCAGGTGTGCAATTTGAACCTAACAGCCGTTCACTGGGAAGAAAGATGAGGTGGTCTATCTGGGCACTTAAAGCCTTAGAAAGCTGGAAGGGAAGTCATGCCCTGCCCCATGGGGTCATTATGAGCTGGAGTTGACTCAGCAGTGAGCTTGGTTTTTTTTGGCATTTTATATAAAAGCAAACCGAACCCACAGCTCTCTAAGTGATTCTTATCATAGCAACCCTATATAGTATTTCTAAAGCTGTACATTGTTTCAGGAGTAGATAGCCTCACCTTAAAACCAATGGCTTTTGGTTACAACCCAACACTAGACAATAGCACCAGAATTCATTTCAAGGAGTGCAATAAACCTCAAAACCAAACCCACTGCCATTGAGTTGATGCCAACTGTAACGACCCTAAAGGACTGGATAGGACTGTCTCTTTGGGTTTCTAAGTCTATACTATTCTCCTGAAGCAGAAAGTTTCACTTCTCCAACCGACGGACTGCACTGGTGAGTGTGAACTGCTGACCTGTGCTGAGAGGCCCATCGTGTAAAGCAAGACAAAATCAGGGTCGTTTCGTGTGATTTAGGACTTTACAAAAGTCAAAAATTGTTGTTAGGTGCCACCAAGTCAGCAGCAAACCATAGAGGCCAACAATGCAGAACCATGAGAAAGATTTTATACACACACACACACATATATATACATATGTGTGTGTATATATATATATAACTTCATAAGATAGAATAACTGCAAATGGGAGTAAAAAATGTGAACAAAGTAAAATTTTTAAATATGTAGGAGAAAATACCACAGCCATATGCTACCAGGAGGCAGGAAAGAATCTCTTAAATAGGTTTCACACAGTATAAATCATAAAATTAAACATTACATAATTTACTTGGCGAAAATTGAATAATTCTGTGGAAGCACGTTATCTTTTTAGTATTGTCAGAAGAACACCCCAAAGCTAAAATCAGGAAAGGTTTTCATCAGGGTATATATCCTTTCATGATACTTAATCAATCTGCATGATGAGCAAATAGTCTGAGAATCTGGACAAAATGAAGTGGACCATGACATCAGGATGGAGGAATATCAATCAGTGCCCTACAGTATATGCAGATACAGCCTTGTTTGTTCAAAGCCAAGAGCACTTGAAGCACTTGATGCAGAGGACAGGATGTAGCCTTCTATAAGGAATATTCCTTAACATCCAACAAAAGTCTTCACAACTGGACGGGTCAACATCATCATGAATATTAGAGAAAAGAGTGCAATTGTCAAGGATTTTATTTACTTGGATCCACAATCAATTTCCCTAGAAGTACCAGTCAAGATAAAAAAAATGACTTAGTTTATTGGCCAGATTTGCTGCAAAAGGCTTCTTTATAATGTTCAATAACAAAGCTATCACTCTAAGAATTAAGGTGTGTGAGACTCACGCCAGGTTATTTTCCATCACCCATGTACATGAGAAAGCTGGGTAATAAATAAGGAAGATCTCAGAAGAATTGATGTTTTTGAATTCTAATGTTAGTGAAGAACATGGAGTATACCACAGACTGCCAGCAGAATGACCTTGAAGATGGTCAGCCAGGACTCTCCTTAGAAGCAAGGGTGGTGAGACTTGTCTCAAGTCTTTGTGCTTGTTCTTAGGAGGGATTATGGATAAGGATAACATACTTGGTTATGGTAAAAGAGGAAGGACCTTACCCAGGTGAACTGACACAGTGGCTGGTACAGTGGGCTCACTGTGTGAAGATGATGACACAGGACTGAAGTATGTTGAGTTCTATTGCGTATAGGGTTGCTATGTGTCAAGGATCACAGCCATCAGTATGGATTATGACTCAATGCAAAGAAGACCCAAATCCTCACAACTGGACCAATAATAGACAACATCATGATAAATGGAGAACAATTTGTCAAGCATTTTGTCTTGTTTAGCTCCACAATCAATACTCATCAAAGCAACAGCCAAAAGATCAAATGATGCATTCTGTTGGCTTAGCCTGCTGTACAAACTTAGAGTATTGAAAAGCAAGAATGTTACTATGAGAACTAAGGTATGCATAAACAAAGCCATGGTATTTTCCATTGCCTCATGTACATGTGAAAGTTGGACAATGAATAATGACCAGAGAAAAATGATGCGTTTGAGCTGTAGTGTTGGAGAAGAATATTGAAAGTACCACTGACTACTTAAAAGACAAACTTACCTGTCTTGGAAGAACTACATCCTGAGTGCTCCTTACAGGCCAGGATGAAAAGACTTCATCTTCCATACTTTGGCCATGTTTTTAGGAGGGACCACCCTGGAGAAGGATATCATATTTGATAAGGTAGAGGGGCAGTGAAAAAGAGAAAGGCCCTCAACAAGACATCGTAACAATGGCCTCAAGAATAAGGCCACTTTTAAGCATGGCACAGGACTGTGCAGTAATTCATTCTGCTACAGGTTGGTACTGACTCAGGTCACTTACCATAACAACATGAGTCAGAAAGGTATTATTACAGTCCCTAATAATAACAACAGACAAAACATGCCATATAAATAATTATTATTGGCATCTGATACTACAGATCTCACTACTCTGCTTTTACTTTCAAAAATTAAATGCATGTGTGTGTGACTGTGTACATTAAAGAAGCCCGGTGGCACTGTCAGGTAAGAGGTGGACTTCTTTTTTTAAAAATCATTTTATTGGGGACTCATACAACTCTTATCATAATCCATACATATACCAATCGTGTAAAAGCACATTTGTGCAGTCATTGCCCTCATCATTCTCAAAACATTTGCTCTCCACTTAAGCCCTTGGCATCAGCTCCTCTATTTGCCCCCTTCCTCCCTGCTGACTCTTCCCTCATGAACCGTTGATAATTTATAAATTATTATTTTGTCTAACAAAAAGGTTAGTGGTTCAAAATCAGCAGCTGCTCAGCAGTAAAAAGACTATATGCTCCCACTGATCTCATAAATATAGAAAGCCTTGGAAACTGAGGTAGTTAGTTTATTGTGTCAACCTGGCCGATAAACACATGTGGGGTTGATTGAAGGGTGGAGAGATAAATGGCTCTGTGAGCCTTGTCTTTCAAGTTCTCAGGTCTCTTGCTTTGTGATGGTCAGATCAGGGTGCAGTTGCCTTAGCCAGTTCTCTGCTTCAGCTGGCAAGGCTCACTTCCTACAAGACATCCCTGAGGAGCCCAATGCAGCCCTAGGTGCTGGAGCAGCTGAGTGGAGACCGCTTTCAGTGCTGAGATGCTTACAAGTTCACCGATTCAGCTTCCCTCTTGCAGCCAGTGTCATAGTGTGGGTTTTGTGAGATGGAGGAGGACTTTGTGGATTCGTGTTGGACATATGTGCTAATGTTGGACTTGTGGGCTTGGGCAGCACTGGGTTGGGATGTTTTATTGATGTGCCTTTAACCTTTATATAAAACTCTCTCTTATACACGAGTTTCTGTGGATTTGTTTCTCTAAAATTCCCAGACTGACACAGACACCCTAGATAAAGTCATTCATTGCTCTTCTATCAGAAATATAGAACGAATTTTCAAGTTCAAAAAAAATTCCACTGGGATTTTGACAGTAAAATGAACCATGTTAAAAACAAAAATGAAAAGAAATTTATAAGATCTTTACAAATGTTCATAATGACTATAATTTTTTTTTATTCCTTAGGTATTTATTTCTTCCCAAGAATGTTGCCGTTTGTATGACTATTGTGAATAACTCGACTTTTCCAATTGCTTAGTAGGAATGGATGCGCGCTCTATTGATATCTATATGGTTACTTCATAGCCACTAACTGTTCAAGAGCATTAGTTCTACTAGTTTCTGCAGATTCTATTAAACTTTTTATGCCCACCTATTAACCACAAGCAAGTTAGGTTTTCAAATTTACACTGGCTTTTATTTTTCCCTTATAGCATTAACTATGACTTCTCCAACGGTGTCAACTACGAGCCGCCTTCCTTTCCACCTCCATGGATTTAGTGTGACTCCATTCCCCACTGGACTCAGTATTAAGACTTTTAATATGACTCTGTCTTTACTGAATTGATAATATTTCTACGGATTTCCGGCTTAACGTTTTTTTCCTCTTGAATGGATGCTTCCTCACCTCTCTGTCTTAGTTATGGCACTATCTACTATAATCAGCAAATTTTGCATTATAAAAAATCTGATGGCATCCTTTTAATCCTAAACTAATCTCTTATTTTGGTATATTGATTATTATATATTTAAAATAATTTACTATATTTGTGCAAATATATACTATATTGTGTAGCAAATATTTACTATATTAAATGCATGCTTCTATATCTGTTTGCCAACTACTTTTTTTTTCTGGGAGCTATCTTCACAAATAATGCTATCCTTTTTTTTTTTTTTTTGGTTACATTTTGTTAAACTAAATTAGTATATTCCTGTAAAAAAAAACCACCTCTGTTGTGCAGTGGGAAGATGGGAGAGTTTGGCAAGCAAATGTGGAAGGTGCTCCTTTCTGTGTAAATATATGGTCATGCAAATAGAGGATTTTGACCTGCTCACTTTTTTACCATTTTTTTCACCTATGTTTATGGAGTTGGGTTTGGAATTATTTTTTACTATTATTGGATTTTAATATCAAAGTAATAATCTTCACAATGTGATTTGGTTTGCCTTCTCTCTTCCTTTCATGAAAAATCTTGTGCCCAATACAGATTATTTGACTATGTTGGAAGAGATGACATTTATTCATACTTCTTAGTCATTTGGTGAGTTCTTGATAAATTGTTACATAAAATTAATAGGAAGCAAATTAAATTCCAATTGTTGAACTTTCTGTTTGTCTTTCCTATGTGAACATTGCTCCATTTTCTTAGGTATTTGCTCTTTGTGAGAGGCCTTTGTTAATCAGATTTGTCTTCTTTCACTGTATTCTCACTGCTTTTACCATTTCCTTTCTACTGCCCTCTGCCACTGCAACTCTATGCCAGGCTATGGTTTCCCGTCTTCTATTCCACTGTTGAATTAGAAACCCACCATACTAGTCACAGAACTCCTTGTATGATTCGTTTGAAAATCTGAATACCCAGTCATTTAATCCCTAGGCTTCCTTTAGTTAAGCCCCTAAACAGTTTCAGCTATAATTGTTTTGGGTTACTGGTATTTATAATATTTGTTTTGTTTTCAATGTTGACTAAACAAGGGAGCTTTATTCCCTTCCTTCATTGCAAGTAAAGAACGTGATTCTGATTTCTCAATTCATCTGGAAGGACTTCTTTTCCCTGCATCACTAATGTGTACTGCATGGACATCTCTGTTCACTTTCACACTTGGGTCCGACCCTTCAGCCCTTCTTACTGATCGGCATTTCTCCTCTGTTTTTCAATCATTCATTCACTATGATTTCATCGTGGTTAAACTATGATCCTTTTGTTTTGTTTTAAAGTCATGCTACATTTTACTTAGCTTGCTATGTGTGTGAAATGTAAAGAGTATCTCAAACTTTGAATGCTGCTCCATCTTCATTTGATGCTCCTTTTCCTACAATGACATCTATACACATTCCCTGGCTTCGAAGTCTCAATTGAGCCCTTGGCTGGGCTCCCTTTGTTGTCTTCTCTGCTGAGTAAGTTGCAGGGAATGCCAGCTTGTCCCTTGAGAATCTGTCCATGGAGGGAATGGCACAGGTCAAGCAGTAGGAGGGCTCCCAAGCCAAGGCTGAGATGCTTTTGATTTACCCTTCCATTGACACCTTGGGAGATCACACTATGTAAAACATAGGGACTAGACCTGTTGACATGAGCCAAGGGACCTTGGAGTTGGGTGTTTGCTCTCCATTGATGCAAACTAGGTAGTCTGTGGTTGTGTGCAGAAGTTAGGAAACAGTATAGCTCTGATGCTAAGACAAAGGTCTGATGTTCTTGTACTTCTGGGTGCTCTGGCCCACAGTCAAAAATATGGTCAGATGATGTCCAAACATACATTAAGCTATGCATTTTTTTTGTCCTAGGAACAAAGTTTATAAGCTCAGAGTAGCGTGAATGAAAGTAGTGAGAAAAACAATATTTTTTTCTAACTGGAATTTGCCTAGAGGCAAAGATAGTAGGCATCCCAAGTTAGATGAACTTTGTCTTTGATCCTAAAGAAATAACCTTTGGAGCAATTGAAGTGCTTTAGTCTTGGACTTCTGTGGCACATCTGAAGATTTGTGCTAGTGAATGAGGAGTGGGCAGACCACAAGAGACTCATTTGAATGGCTGTTATGAACTAACTACCCTTAGGAGGCTTACATTTGACTATCTTGAAGAAAGGTTGAGACCCTGACAGGAAGATTCAGATTCCTCTTTGACAATAGCTAAGTTCTTAGGAGGGTAGTGGATCCTTGGAATGTGGAAGTTCTGTGTTGGTAAAATTCCCAGAGGTCACCCTATGCAATTTTTGTATGTGTATCCTTTTGGGTTATCATAAATCTGTAGTCATTGTGCTAGACACTCTGCAAGTCTTTGCAGCAGATTTTCAAGCTGAAAGGGGAAGTAGGAGGTAGCCATTCAGAGTGAGGATAGCCAATGTATGTCTGAATTTGTGACTGCTATTCTGAAGGGGTCGTTTGAAACCACCGCTAGAGCTCTACATTTTGAGGATTTAAGTCATACTGATCCCTATCTTCCACTACCAAGTATAGCGTATTCAATGAATCTATTCACAATGTTTTCATGGTAATCCCTTGTGTTACGCCAGGTTGACCAGAGAAACAAATCCAGACACACTCATATTGTATAAGAGAGAGCTTTATATCAAACAGCAATTGTATATTGAGAATACATCCCAGCCAAGTCCAGATCAAGTTCATAATTCTGAGATTAGCCTATCTGTCCATTACTAGTCCATAAATTTCTCTTTAGTCTCACACAGCACATGCAATGATGCCAATTTCAAGAAAATCATAGGCTAGTTGGTGGAACGTCCTGTGGATCCAATGTTGGTGGAAGCATCTCCAGGGCGCTCGCTGGTGGCCATCCAGCGTGGCTCTATGTGACTTGTCAACAGGAATGTGTAACAGAATGACCCACCTCTAAGGAGGAAGCAGAAGTTTCCAGAATCCTCATGAGGAGCGCAACCCCTAAGGAGGGACCAATCAGTCTGTGACCGGATTGACAGGCTAGACTCCACCCCTTCATTATTTTATCAAGATGGCATGAAATTGCATAATCACCACAACTCTATTTGTACATTTCCTGCCATTATGCTTAATAATGCCTTGGGGGAAGTCATAAAAGAGAAATGGATACTGATTTTGAAGTGTTCGTGTGTGTACAGACTTTTTTTGGCTGAAGCAAAAAGGTTTAATGAAACCATAGTTTCCAGAATTTAAATTGCAATCCAATTCACATGAATATGAATGAGTTTAAAAATAATATTACATATGTATGCAAGTCAAACAAGGGAAATATAACTCAGCAGCTATACTTGGATCTGTTTGAATGTTAGCCATTAGAGAATCACTGTGCTATGGCTTTATTAACACTATGCGAAAAAACAGGTCATAACTGTTTGCATTTTACGTGACATTTTTCTTTGCCTGGATACATGTTCGCATAAAAAAAAATGCCTCTGTGTCTTATATCGTATGGCAGCAAGTTATTTCTAAGAAGTGTTAACAGTAATATGGGATTGGTTTAGGTAACATTTTTCCGGATTAAAAAAACTGACCTTGAGTTGATTCCAACGCATAGAAATCCTATAGGATAGGTTGTAAATGTTGATGGAAGCAGATTGTCATATTTTTTTCTCTCACAAAGCGGCTGATGGCATCTAAGCACTTTAACCACAGTGCCACCAAGTTTCCATATTTTAATATTTCTAGGGAAAATGGGGGAGCCTGGTTGCCTGGTGGTTAGACACTTGATAGCTTACCAAAACATTGACAATGAGGATTCATCAGCAGCTCTGCAGGGGAAAGATGTGATTGTCTGTTTTCCCACAGACAGACAAGCTTGAACAGCCTGTGCTAAGGTATAAAGCTGTTATGAGTTGGAATTAGCTCAACACCAGTGGGTTTGGATTGACGTTAGGAGCTTAGATGGAGATCAGGCTTTACCATGCTGGAAAGTGACATTACCCAGGCGTCTAATCTCACAGCTCTGCTGTTACTCGTCTGTCCCACATGTACTCATGTCTTCCTGTCGTTTACTGCCTTCCACAGCTCTCTGATTTCATCTCCAGGCCCCCTTATCTTTACTCTTCTAAAATTTCTGTTAATTGAATATGTTAGTCGTAGTGATATAATTCGAATGTTTTTATGGACCCAATGAAGCATTGTATTACTTGAGCAAATGAGTCAGCAAAGAGAAAAGAAAAAAAAAAAAAAGATCCTTCAGTCACAATTGTTGTTGAATTCTATTGGAGAATAGCGGCTATCACGCGGCTTGGTGCTGCTGCCTTCCAAAGGAATGATGGTCTCAGCGACCCCAGGGAGTGTTCCCACTCTGTCCCAGAGGCTGCCGGGAGTAGGACTCCATTCTACATTAGTGAGGCTTATGGAGGATTTAGTAATGTTTTCTACTTATGAATATTAATTACCAAGATAGTATTGAGAGCTAGTCCCTTAATCATATTTAGCAATATTAGGATCTACTTTGTATTGCAATATTAATCAGCTTAGTATCTTTATTGAGTAGCTGCTAAACTAAATAAAAATAAACATGAATACAAACATATAAATGCATAACTAACAGCTAAAAGTGGCAGCATAAAGAAAAATTATGACTATTATTTATATTCTACAGAATTTTTATTTCCTACTAATAATAAACCACACACAGGTGTGTAATTTGGTCTTTGTAGTAGATGTTATTTTTTAATTTTATTTATATATAGTGTTAAAGAGAAAGGCTGAGATTTTTAAGGTGTCTTTAAGGGAGGAGATAGGAAGAAACTAGAAAACATGTGAATAAATAATCCCCATTTACCTTTTTTTTTTTGCGAGATTTAATAGTGAACTTCATAAAAGGAGATCATGCA